AGGGAAAGCTAGGGGCGACGGTGAGCGTGAAGGGAGAGGCGTCGGAGGAGAGGAGGGGAGGACACCCGAGGAGTTGATGCACACCGCAGGCACGGAGGCCAGGAGCCCCGCGCAGCCTCCACCTAGGGCGTGACGGGTGGTCCCCCTTCGATGCTGCTGGTAGTGCTCTAACTTCACACCTTCCCCTGCCCACCCCGCTCAGTCACCCCCGCCCCACTTCACACTCTTCAAAAGGGATTTTATTCAAGCAGTTGTGTGTGTGTGTGTGTTTACATCAGTGTTCACAGTCAATATTATACTTTACCAGAAAAAAAAAAAAAAAAAAGCCTGTGTGAAACTTTTTCCTGTTAAAGTCTGTTTGGAGGCTGTTCAGCCTGGGTCTCATCTCAACTTCTCTTAAATCACTCGTATGTTTTGTAGGTTCGTGAACACACACATGCCCTTCTTTTTAACCTAGCTGGACGCATGTCCTTATCTCCACAGCCTTAGTGTCTCAGCGCACAAGGAAGAAATCCTCTGCAGCCCTGCTTCCACGGACACAAACTTTTTAAAGGACACACACATCCCACCGTTTAAAGCACTCCCGCCACCCCCAAACCCCCAGTCTCCACTCAATCCCACCCTTGGATCACTCAATTTTTACGTTTCCAACAGGTTTCCAAAAGTTTTATGTAATGATCAGAATTCTTCAGTTGTACAGTCTTGTTTGGAAGGCTGATGGGAATCTCTAAAACGGACCGATTAAACGTTGCATCACGATACTTAGTACACTTTGTCCTTCAGTCCTTGCGGAGGACTTACCGTACTTTCTAGCACACAATTTACAACACAGCTACAATCAGAACTTACTCCTGCATAGTATTATTCAACCTGAAACATGCAACACTGTAACCCCTCGGAGGGAGTGAGCAGACCGGCGAGTCCTGCTCTTCGAAGGGGATAGAGGGACCGGGAACACCCCGCCTGCAAGTCGGGCAGCGAGCGGACCCAGCGAGCAGAGACCCGCAGGCATGGCTCCGACAGAGTGAGGTCCCCTTCCTTCCTCTTGCTTCACCAGTTACTAAGGTTTAGTGAAACAGAAACACATTAAGGTGCGAGTGTGGAAGTGGAAAAGATAGTAAGAAGATCGGGTAACTACCCGAGTGTCGAAGGTCTGCCAAACGTGCGGGCAAATGCAGCCATGCCCCCACCCTGACCCTTGCCCAGCCGCCCTGGACGCGCGCCACGGGCCAGTCGCTACACTCCGGGGCACAGACAACAGCCACACGGTACTGACAACACGCAGACGACACCGGCGAGGTGCACACCAACACACCCAATGACAGGCTCCGCCATTAGGAGGCGGCTGACAACCTGGAGCGGACTGGAAAAGCCAGCCGGGTCCCCGGCCTCCTTCCTCCAAAGCACGTTACCTAAACGTCGCAGTTTGTGTCCAGGCTGTTCCTGCTCCACCCTAAAGATTATGTGAACGCAAGAGCCGTGGGTGCGCGCGGGTGGGCCGGGCAGGGAGCCTCCCCTTCTGGGTCCCGTCGGTTTTATTTCGGAAGCGGGAGGGGGAGGAGGGAGGGCTGGAGGAGGGGAGGGGAATCCCAAATTAAAATAACCCTCAGTTATGAGGACGCTCGGTGGCATCGGATATTCACACCAGCAACAGTCACATTACATTCGCCTTCGCCAGATGGCGGCGGGTTCAACTTCCCGGGATCTCGCAAAGTCAGGCTGTGCGCCCGAGCGCGCGCCGGGTGTGGGGACGCAGGCGGGCCTGGGACAGCCGGGGAGACGCAGGGCGGGCCGGGGCCGGGGCGGGGGGCGCGCGCCGGGCTCACCGGTTCCGGACGAGGAGGTCTCTGTCCCCGGGAAGTGGCACCGGGCAGTCCCGGTGCAGGGTGACCGCCTCGCGGAAGTTGGGGCTCAGCCGGGTCACCACCAGCTTCTGCATAGCGCGGGGGATGGCGGAGCCCTGGAAGTCCAGGAAGTGGCGGGCGTACGACATGTCCACGATGGCTCGGGCCCCGGCGGGCGCCAGCCGCAGCATGGCCCGCGCCTCTGCCCGCTTTCTGCGCCGCCGCTGGCTAGGGTCGCGCCCAGCCCGGGCCGATCGGCTCGGCTCAGCTCGGCGCGGG